GTTGTATTGGTCCGTAGATGCTACAAAGAATCATTTACTGTATCAACAAAATGCCCATCAAGATGCTTTGCCTAGAACGTCAATCTGGGAAAAACTGGAGCTTTTTCTAATCCGGTCCCTCGTCATTTGAAAACAGCATCGTCATTCCTAGCCAACCAGATTGACCAGGGAACAACATATATGGAGTAGCAGGAATCAAAGCTTTTTCTGCATCGCTCCTCGACAGAAGAAAACCATCAATCTGACTATAATTAAACCGCATAAAAATCTGATTCTGTTAGATTTATTGAGGCTGCATGTCCACTATATCGAATAACACGTTACAATACATGAAAATATTCAGTACTATTTAACTTTCAGTGACTATCATTATAATAATGACTTTGATAATCATGGAGATTGCCTCCGAAACTATATATATAAAAAAATGAGAAAGGTTAAATATTGGGCGTGAGAGGTGAGAGTTGAGAGTAGAAGATGTCGACGGAGGCCATCTGGGGGTGTGACAGGAGGAGAGAGGAGCAGTAGGATAGAGATGGATGTATATTGTGTTGTTTGCACGAAGACAAAAAAGACCAGCTCTTGTAGGGTTATAACAACAGGGATTTTGCTTGAGCTTTTCAAAGCCCTTCTCCATCTCTTTCTCTTTCCCCATCTCTCTCAACACGTATACACACGAAACCAATGCACAGAGGAGGCTCAAAACTGATGAAAGGATAATGGATAGGAAAGCTTTCGTCCTCGCTAATGCATGATGCTTGTTGGTGGTTTTGGTAGCAGCCCCTGTCCCTCTGCTTGGGCCCATCCCTAGATTCCTGCTCCTTCTCTATCACTCTCCCTTTCGAATGCATGCAGTTCCCCTTTACGATATAATTGAAACTATAAGAGTTTTGATTTAAAAAAAAAAAGCAATAAGAAATTAAAAGAACAGAGACTTAAACTCATGAAATTACAATAATTATTATTATTAAAATAAATAAATCATAAACTCAATTTTAATAATAAAAATAAAAGCCATAAAAAAAATTTAAAAGAAAAAATGGACAAAAAGATGAAACTAAAAGATGAAAGACTAAACTGAAAATCATTATATATACAAATTAAAAATTAAAAATTAAAATGAAAACACATAAAACTTTAACAAGCAAAAAATATATAAATATATAAATTAAAACTAAAAGGATTGAATTTAAAATACCAATAACACCAGTGACCACAATATATTTATCAGGATAAAAGAAAGAAACAAAAAAAAAAGAAAAGGGTTACTAATAATAACTCAAAAATATTTAGACTATATGCGTCATTTAGGAGGGAAAAGGAAACTATGAGGAATCAAACAACATGATAAAATCATATTTTTGACTATGAGAGAACACCATACACACCGCCACAAAGACACAACATTTCTCATTCGCTATCACATTAACATTACTTGCCAACATTTTTTTTAATTAAAAATATTATTTTAATGTCAAATTACTCCACTACCCTTATGCTGCCAACCAATAATTAAAAAAAAATGGAGCCAGAAGACCCTAATATTCATGATCTTTATGAATTAAATTCTTTATATCCAAGTGTATAATTGTAATTCAACTAGTAATTAAAAATACTATTATACTCTTACTTGATGCAAATGACTATTGTACTCTGGAATATATTTTTGTTATTTCATTATTCATAAAAATAATACCCTCACACAAATATCCTTGTCCTTGTGAATTAAATTCTTTATATCCAAGTGTATATTAATTTGTAATTCAATTGGTGATAAAAATTGGAAATACCAATATACCCTTACTTCATGTAAATGAATATTTTACTCTTGAATATATTTTTGTTATTTCATTATTCATAAAAATAATACATAGATAAAGATATCCTGATCACACAAGTCAACAACGACAGATTATTTGTTTTTATAAAATATTACGAATGTGCAAGTGAGCTTAATTTAGATACTCAAACTCTCCCTACTCTCGCGATAAAATCCTTCTGGCTCTCCTATCTACAACGAGGCGCGCGGTTCTCAGTTTCTGTTTTCACGAAAATAACTTTGTGTTTTCAAGAGGAATTACTGCATACTTTTCATTCTTTTTATTGCATAAGAGAATGGAAGAAATTTCTTTTCTTTTATAGCAGTAAATTCACATTTAAAAAGAACATGAGAACAGTTTCCTCTTCATATAAAGAGAAGTAGAAGAATAAAATCATCATCGTCTCTCTATCTATCTCATCCCCGCCCTCACGTCCTTCCCTTACCTTGCGGTGATGTATTAGGAGCCGAAAGATAAGCTATCCATGTAACCAAATTTTGCATACCGATTCTCTTAAAAATAAATTTGTTATAATCTTACATATCCCTTTTTTCTTGTGTAATATGTCATCGCAAGTCCCTCTTAGTTCAGTTCTGGCTCTCCTAGACTAAACTTTCTCCACACAGCATCTGCAGATATCTTTCGTTTTGAGTTCCGGGTTAACAAGACATTCTGATCACGACCACAGTTTTGAGATTGGTGACACAAGTCTAGGTGATGACGTGCAATGGGATGGCTTTCTTCCCAACAAATTTCATGCTCCAGATTTCTCATGATCAAGATGATCATCAACCTCCCACTTCTCTCAGTCCAATTCTGCCATCTTGCGCACCCCGAGACTTTCATGGTACCCCCTCAATCTGATCTCCCTCTTTCTCTCTGAGCTAACTTTGACTGGATATATTCAGAGTGTTTTTTTCTTTTCTTTTTTTCTTATTATTTTTTTTATGGAAGGGGTGGGCCGGGTGGCGCCATTTCTAGGGAAGAGATCATCAATGTCGTTTTCAGGGATTGATGTGTGTCATGAAGAAGGTAATGGAGAGGATGAGTTGTCTGATGATGGCTCACAAGCAGGAGAAAAGAAGAGGAGGCTCAATATGGAACAAGTCAAGACTCTTGAAAAAAACTTTGAGTTGGGTAACAAGCTTGAACCTGAGAGAAAAATGCAACTGGCTAGGGCTCTTGGTCTGCAGCCAAGACAGATTGCTATATGGTTCCAAAACAGGAGGGCCAGATGGAAAACCAAACAACTAGAGAAAGATTATGATCTCCTCAAGAGACAGTTTGATGCTGTTAAAGCTGAAAATAATGCACTACAAACTCAGAACCAGAGACTTCATGCAGAGGTTAGTTTTCAATTAGCTATTATATATATAGAGCTTCATGTTTGAATTAAAATTTGCCATTAGCTCTTGACCTCTTCTCTCTTATTTAATGTCTATTGTACCTTTTGTGATACTTAAATCATTAATTACAAGCAGATTTTTTGCGTGGAACTACAATTATTGAGTATAACAAGTTTCGAAATCCAATCATTCCCCCCTGGTTTGTTCAGCTTCTTGGCCTTTTCTTCGTACAATGATTTCTGTGAACTTTTCAATAAAGCTTCTTTTCTTATGATTAGTTAACCTTTTTTTTTAACATACGTTGGTTTGAGCACCCACGAAAATTTAAAAAAAGAAATTCACAAGAAACACTATTTAATTAATTTGAAGTACTGCTGAATATTGTTCGTGGTTTTAGAGCTAAAGTCTACTTAGTCATGTATATATGTGCAGGGTACAGATCTTTCCTGCATGTACACGTTTAGTGTGTGTGTGTATATATAGGTTTTTATTTTTTATTTTTTGAACTTAAAATATAAGCGTATGCTTCATGTTGATTGGTTAACTCACGGCTGCAGATATTGGCACTGAAAAGCAGAGAACCGACTGAATCTATCAATCTCAATAAAGAAACTGAGGGTTCTTGCAGTAATAGAAGTGAAAACAGCTCAGATATCAAATTGGATATCTCAAGGACGCCAGCTATTGACAGCCCTCTACCTAATCACCATCCAACAAGCAGGCCCTTCTTTCCCTCATCATCTATCAGGCCTACAGGTATTGCACAACTCAACATAAACAACTCTTCAAGGCCCGATTTTCAATGCCAGAAGATGGATCATATAGTCAAGGAAGAAAGTCTCACCAATATGTTCTGCAGCATTGATGATCAATCTGGATTTTGGCCATGGCTTGAGCAACAGCAATTCAACTAAGAAAATGAGCCTGGAATGCCATATTGGACCGCACCCATTATACGCGCAGTATATGTGGAAATAGTTAATCTTCAATTCATTAAAAGGGAAGTTATCTTTATTTTATGAGTTTAAAATTAAGTTCATATATATAGTCGGCACTTAGATTGGCATATAAAGTAGGATACCTTACGTTGGGATTTCAGGTGGGGGAGCTGAAGATCTTAGTTTTCAGAGGAATAAGATTTGTGTCTTTGAGTTATATATATATATTCCTTTAGTAATGAATATAAGAGGATGTTTGCTAGGTTGGATCGTTGGAGTTTAAATTACGTTTGCTTGTGACTGGTTTCGAACGCTAGCATGGGTCATGCATGAAATGAGAAGGGGATTTACTCTCGTCCTTGCCTTTTTTTTTTCGACTTATTTTTAATGTTGTGTCTCTGTGCAAGAGAGATGCTTCCGAGTGCTTTCTTGGAAGTCCAAGTAATGAAATATTTTTTGCGATTTCATCATTCGGCACTATATTATGCTAACCCTACGGCGACAACCGAAACAAAAAAAAAAAAATACTCCGATGTGCTGGCTGGACCATAAAAGGAAATTGTATCGTTGGTAATTCACTTTTACTTTTTGTTGAAGAAAGTTTGAAATGGAAACAAATAAAGATATGGCTAAGAGGTGTGACAACTGGATAAATTTATCTCATTGAAATATTATAAATATTAATGTAATAGCATTAATAAGTTTATTAAAAAAGTTTTTTCTCGTGATTTTTATTTAATTTACTAAACAATAAAAACTCATATTTATAAACACTAAAAGGAAAATGTTTTCCAACACTTTTTACTTAATTCAGTTCATAAACTTTAATTTATTTCTTTTGGTGCACTAATGTTTTCAACAGCTTAAGTAATTCCATCAAAATTGTAATTTTTTTTATGATATGGTAGTTCACTTTAAATAACTTATTTCATATTTAGAGGTTTTTTTT